GGGGGGGGGTGGGGGGGGGAGAGGGGCGGTCACAGAGCAGGGGAAACCGACGCACCACTTACCCAGAAGTAGTCACAATAGCTCCACTCTGTAGGTTTCAGCAGTTGCTGCTCTGGCATCGTGTCCGGATGAGGAAACGTCACGCAGTTTATCTGCAGGGCACAGGACAAGGCAGGAAGTGACTTGCCTGGACGGGAAGGCTTTGCGCCTGGGACACAGCATTACAGAGGCCTCCCTTCAGCGCCCGCTCGATAGAGCGTGCGTGGCAATCCTGGGAGGCACGTGTTTTTCGAATGAGGGGCAAAGGACACCCACGCCCCCAGAGGGGCTGGAATCGGCCAGAACTCTCTGGAAGGCAGTATAGTAACAGCATCCACCAAAACCACACACAGCGTGAGCCTCTGACCCGGCGACTTGTTCGTCAAAGACCACCCCCTACGGATGGATCGCGTGTGTCTAAACCCTCTTGTCTACCAGCACACGGGTTTGTAGCAGCAAAAACACAACTCCACTGTCCTCCAGCAGGGGAACGGCTACACAAAGCTTGGGGCAGAGGGGCATCTGTGGGGTGTGCATCGAGAGCAGAGGACACGGGGAGAAAGTTCTAACATGTGGCTACAGATGTTGTGCCGGGTCATATTATTAAGTGGGGAAGAAAAACATGAGCTGCAAAACGGTACTTAAGAGTATGCTACCATTTGCATAGGGAAAAAAAAAAAACACAAACAAGAGAGAAAGAGAGAGAGAGAGAGAGAGAGAGAGAGAGAGAGAAAATACACACACATTTGGTTATTTACGTACGGAATACTTCTGGAAGCCGATAACATCGTTTGCTTCCAGAGAAAGGAATTCTGTGGTTGAGGGTCAGGGCGACAGGTTACCTTGTGCGTTTCATTTCACAATATTTATTCTACGAACAAAGAGCGTCTGAAAAGATGGTCCAGGATGTGTGCTCGGGGCTGGCCCTCGCCCAGGAGAGGGCAGTGCAGACATTCCTGGGACCTGTCTCACACTTTTCCTGCCCAAGCTTGCCCGCCAGGGGGAAGTGGTTTTACCACTGCTTTTGCTGGGCCTGTTTCCAGCCCGGGATCCGCTCCTGTGGAACCTGCTCGTTTGTGTCCTTTGTGGGAGCCACAGAGCCTCACCCTGCAGACTTTAACTGTCACCACGGAGCCTGGAGCTGCTGCATTGGGGGCCGTCTGATGATCAAGGCAAGAGCTGTGCAGAAAACCCAGGGGTCCTGGGGTCGCTTGGGGGGGCTCAGTCGCTTAAGCGTCTGACTCTTGGTTCCGGCTCAGGTCATGATCTCCTGGTTCGTGAGTTCGAGCCCCATGTCAGGCTCTACGCTGACAGCACGGAGCCTGCTTGGGATTCTCTCTCTCCCTCTCTCTCTGCCCCTGCCCTGCTAGCATTCTCTCTCTCTCTCTTTCTTTCGCTCTCAAAATAAATAAATAAACTTTTTAAAAAAATTAAAAGAAAAAGAAAACCCCAGGGGTTCTGGAGAGAGGCCACCAACTCCAAAGCCAAGCAGCCACGCAAACAAACAAGGTACAGGCGCCACTTGGTCAGAAACTGCAGCGTGGGGGCAGAGGGGAGGGGGGCGAGCAACCTCGGCCTTGGGAAGAGGTGGGGTCTGCGGAGATGCGGGTAGCCAGCGGATTCCTCCTAGCTCCTCCCGACTGGTGTCAAGCCGGCACAAAGAGCCGACTCAAGAGAAGCCAAAAATCAGGACTCTTAGGCGAAGCGTCTCCATGTTTAAATGCTGGCAAGTGATTCAAAGTTAAAGATGCTAATAAGGACGACCAAATTCCTCTGCCAGCTGAGTCGGGCTCACGGGCCCCCAGCCGTGTCCTGGGGTTCAGGGCCCCCACCCTCTGCTGCCAGGGGCACAGATCTTCCTTGTAGTCTCGGGAGGAGAGCAGGGGAGAAGTCCCAGCGGAGGACAGGAGCCCCCTCCTCCCGGACCCTGACATCTGGTGGAAGGAAGGGCTGAGATTCCCACTCTGAAGGAAAAGACAGAGTGGCAGGAATGACCTAGAGAACCCCAGAAACAGGGAGCACGGATTTCCACCAAGGTCAAAGTGCAGGTGCGAGGGACCCCCTGGGGTGGGGAATTTCCACCCCAAGGTGTCCCTGGCCTGCAGGAGCCTGCTGTGGGCGGTGAGGGAGGGCCACCTCTCAATCCCCACAGCAGACAACGGTCTCCCCACACCCTCTCTCCAGGCTGCCGCTCAAGGCGTGTCCAGAGGGGAGTCTCCTTCCGGGGCTTCAATGACCGACGGCCACACGCATCTCCCATCGAATCGTGGAAACAGGGGCTGGACCGCAAAGCTTCACGTGTTCCTTATTTCATGTAATGGCTACTCCTGTGTCCAAAGATAACAGCGATCGCGAGGCATTTTGTCTTGCTTAATAATGTGGTCCGTGAAAATTTCAAACAAATCTAATGGCAAATTAACTGTGACATTAGACTGGGCCTTAAGGATCACGGAACCAGCGAGGGGGGGGGGGCATGGTGGTACCCAGAAGTGGACACAAGTGTCTTCTAGGGTGTCCTGTCGGCGTCTAGAGGCAAGGGGTCCCACACGTGGCCCCGTCACAACCACTGAAAGGGAGCTGTCTGGGCTGGGGGAGACAGGAGGGGAGGGTAAGGGCTCATCCCTGTTGTTGCTCTTACCACTCGGTGAGGACACAGGTCCTTGGACAGACTGGTTGGGGACCCCAGGGTGCCTGTCCCCCGCCTGTACCAACTCTGGTTTGGGGACAGGCTGGCTCCCAGCTGTCCTGGGGGGGGTGTTGCATTTCCCCAATGCTCACAGAGCCCTGCGCCTCCTGGTGGGCGACTGGAGAACTGCACCCTGCCGGCCTCCCTACCCCCAACCACCGCCCCAGGAGGCAGCTGTTAACACCCCCCTCCACCCCCGGGGGGGCTTGGGGGGGGGGAATCAGTGGACAGCCCTCACTCAGACACCCCACCAGGGGCCTTGCATGCATTCACTCTCAGGTCATCATCTCAGCAACCCCGCCAGCTGGGTTAACACGGGCCTCATTTTTGCAAGAAGAAAACCCGAGGGTCACAGAAAGCAAGAATCCGAATCAGAGCTGGGCTGACCACAGAGCTCAAGGCCTCCACCCACAGCAGTTCATTCGGCGGACCCCTTGCTCGGCCATTTCCCATGCAAACATCTGCTGAGTGGCTACCCTGCTAGATCCTTCCAGCCCTTTGCACACACGCATTTGTAATTACACTTCTCATGACTGCTTAATTAGCATCTCTTTTCTTGACAGTCTGCCCCACGAGGGGAGGGAGACCCTTTCCCTGCTGTTTCCCTATTGCCTGGCAAGCACAGCCCCCGATGGGAGCTCAGGAAGGGTTTCTTGGTGCAATGACTCAAGGGCCAGAGACGGACAGAATGCTCTCTGTCCTCAACGGTCTTACAGCCTCACGAGGAAGGCACACAAGTGAGAAAGTAATAGCACCACTTTGGGATAAATAGACCACTGGGCTTAAACATGGGTGCTGGGACTGCAGGAAGGGCGAGGAATCAGAGAGAGAGAGAGATTTAGGTAATGAGAGGGTTAGGGTTTGGCAGACAGTGGGGGGGAAGGCCCGAGGTCTCAGGATGCGTCCCACAGTTGGGGAGCCAGGGAGCAGTCAAAACTGAGGCCGGAGGGGCACCCTGCAGGCACGGCAGCCCGGAAAGTGCCCTGAAGCACAGTGACCTGACTGGGCTACTCGCGGGGTGCACACACTGGCCGCGGCAGAGGGGGCGCACTGGAGGGAGAACACCCACCCTGGCCACCAGGGAGGCTCCCCAGGGACCAGCCCTCCTCCCAAGGCCTCCCGGGCACCGGGCACCGCCAGAGCTCCAGGGATCGTCTTTCCTCCCAGCAGACACGGGGCGCGGGGTGGGGGGGGGTCGTCCTAAGGAACCATCCCCTGCTAAGAGCTAGTAACTCGTTCTGACTGCTTTACACCTATCGCCTCACTCAGTTGTCACGGCAACCCTGGAAGGCGGGTGCTATTACTATCCCCATGCTACAGGGCAGGAAACGAAGGCACAGAGAGGTTAGGTAAGTTATGCAAGATCACACAGCTTGTGTGTAACTGACGGTGCAGTCACGGTCTGAAGTCAGACAGTCTGGCTTTCTGCTTCCGTCGCACCGCCTTCTACGCTCCTATCCAAGGCAGGGGCTCAGGCAGGAAAGGGTGCTCAACACGGAGGAGCGGGGGTCTGCCTCTCCATGAATACTGTTTGCGAGAAGTTCTGGGAGCCACCTCCCCACCCTCGCTCCTCCTGAAATCACCATCCTCGACCTGCAGCATCTTGATGCTGACACCAACCCCGTTTTCTCCAACCCTCAGATAAATGGAGGAAGCCCCTCCCCTCCCTGCTGAGCACAGGTTCGACCCGCGCCCGGGGCTCCGATGCGGGGAGTCCCTGAGCGCATCCCCCGCGGCCCCCAGTCCCGGCCCCATGCGGAGGCTGTGCTGGAGGGCAGAGGCCACGGTCTCTCACCCACCTATCTGGGCAGCTGGCTCTGACTGTGCTTCTGGGCTGATCTGGGAGGGCGTGGAAGGGGGAAAGTCAGAGCGGAGGTCTGTGGGAGCAGAGAAGAAGCGACCCAGAGGGTTCACCTCCCGCCCTCGGGCTCCCACCCAGGGTTCCAGGGTGCCCGCCGGGTCACATCAGGAAGTGGAAGCTGAGGACCACAGGAGTCCCCAGAACCTTCCTTCCAGGACGGGAGTGTGGCGGTGTAATTGTCATCTTCTCTGGAATCGTCTAGATTCTGACACATCGTGTTTGTGCCGAGGGCTGCGAGCTGCCCTTAGTGCCTGTCATTCCTCATCAAGCAATTCGGTCCACAGCTGGCCCTGCCCAAGGCGTGCTCCGGGCCCCCAGCGGGAGGGGGAGGCTGGAATCTCAGAATCGAGCTCAATCCTGGCTCCGTAGCCCCCACGAAGACGCAGACCCAGACCAGGACCCGGACGCACGACCCTTTGCTGCCCAGCAAGCATCCGGGTGAATCGCTCTAAGCGTCTGCTCCGTGGGATCTGCACCCCGACAGGGTGACAGGGTGGGAGACTGCTCACCCCGTCGTCCCCACTCACCAGGAGGGGTTTCCTGCACCCCGGGAGCTGGGCCGTACCCCCTGCCCCCACCCCGTCCCAGTGGCCCTGCAGGGTCTCCTCCCTGGAAAACCATGAGCTCTGGAGGATCAGAGCCCAGAGGAAGGACTGGGGACGGGGCAGGGAGGGAGCGAGTGCTGTAGGGACAGGGTAGAGGGGAGGCACACAGGCCTTCACCCATCTGGACACCTGGGGGCACGCAGCCGGCAGACCCAGCCCCAAGACCGGGGAGCTGCTCCGCACCCTCTGGCCAATCCCTCCCATCCTCAGGTTCTCCAGCAAAAACTGGCAGACTCCGGCTGGGGTCCCAGACCAACCAGGTCGTAGGTCCAGGAATCCTCCGAGGAACCCGCGTTTTAAGTAAGCTCCCCGGAGGCTGTGGCGGCCGACTGCACTTTGCAGGCTAGCTCGGAGAGGCACCGATGTAGGTCAGTGGAAGGAGGAGGGAGGACACGGGCTGGGAGGGCCGGTGAACAAGGTGTGCTGGAGAGGAGACCCTGGGGCGAGGCCCAGGGCGCTCAGAGGATGCCCCAAGCTCCGGCTCAAAGGCTCAAAGGCTCAAAGGCAAGGCACAGCAGGTGGGTGACGGGGGCCCCACCCTGGGGCCTGAGACTGTCTCCCCCTTCCCGGCAACTGCTTTCCGCTTTCCATTTCTGCTTTGGACTTTTCTTCTACAATTCCCACATACGCTCCCCGCCTTCTTCTCCCTCTTTCCCCATTTCAGGGAACTTTAGGGGCTCCTGCCTTGCTCTGGGGCAGTCGATGGCACCCTAAAGTGGCAGGAAGATGCCCTCAGGAGGTCTGCCCTGGACTCAGGCCCCACTCTCAGGAGGTAACAGCACAGGTCTCGAATCCCGATGCTTCCCAGCCGGGAGAGGTATATGGCTGTGTGCCTCAGTTTCCTCATCTGTAAACCGGGTCGAGAAGGCAACTGGACACAGAGCATTGACTACAAGCTCTGTTCTAAGTGCTTTCTGTGTACAGACTCATTTAGTCCGCACACGATCCCCAAGGCACAGACACCCACCATCTCTCCATTGTACAGACGTGGACACTGAGACCCAAAGGGGCAGAGACACTTGTCCCGGGCTGCCGTGCAGCTCGCAGGTGCTGTAACGGACCCTCTGGCTTCAGACCCCCTTGTTCACAACACTGGTTCTGTCCCCTCCCCCTCACACAGTGAGCGGAGAGCGAAATGAGCCGCTCGGAACACTACTGGTGCATAATAAGTGCACACCAAAGGGGCAGCAACTGTTGCTGATGTCGTTGTGCATGCAAACCTCTCTTTCCTCCAAAGCAGGATTTGCAGCCTCCACCAGCCAGGGAAGGCATACCCACTGTCGGGGTCATCTCCGTGGGGGTGGTCAGAACGGCTCAGAGCTGGCTGTGGCAGACGGAGCCCAGGAGAGCAGGTCCCCATTCCCGGCTCCGGGGCACCTGTGTCCAAACAGCAAACCCAGGACCACACTTCTCACGTCTCCGAGCCCTTGGCTGTCTGAGCAGCCGGACGATGCATCTGCCCCCGACATGCGGCTGGTGTGTGTGTGTGTGTGTGTGTGTGTGTGTGTGTGTGTGTGTGTGTGTAGAGGGGTGCCCTCCTCAGCCTGCACGTGGGAGCTTGGCGGGCTTCTGCAAGAGCCCCAGGAGGCGGTCTGGCCACCCCAGGCAGGAGCCGCCTGCTCCCGTCAGGAACTCTATTCTTAGGGTGATTTCTCTTGTTTTTAACTTTGGTACCTTCTAGAAGTCACCCTGCGTGAAAGCCAGCCCCAGTGGGTGTAATTTACATGTCATGTCGCTTAGGCGGAGTATGGCCCACCCCCCTTCAAACCACCCCCCCCCCCCCGCGCCCGCCCGCCAGCCACGGCTTCTGCCTCGATCCCACCACGCCTGCACTCGGTCATCATCGGTCATCCGGAGTGAAATCAACAGAAGGGTCGGGGTGGAGGGCGGGGGTGAGGGAGGCAGGGGGGCATTTCGGCTACATCCAAGCTCTGGAACTCCCCCGTTTCCAGGCTGGGCTCCCGCTCAGCTCAGCGGTCCACATCGCCATGGCAACCACCCAGCGTGGCAGAAAGCCCCAGAGCTCGCCCAACCTGGGAGCAGCACCCAGCGGGGAGTCACTTACCGTGATGGTGTTCTCCTTGTTCTGCTTTTTGCCTGGTGACGAGGATCCCAGGTTCTGGGGAGAGAGGCAAGAAACCTCATCAAAGCTGTTCTCCATCCTGGACGTCTGCGCTTTCTGTTCGGGCTCCCCGAAGGCAGCGGGGGGATGAGTGGAGGCCCCTTGCTGGGGCAGTTGGGGGGAGCAGATGCTCAAGCTGCCATTAACCCTTAAGTCACCATGTTCTGGAAGAGGGCAGGCAGGGGTGGCCCGGACCCCACACTGCTCCGGGGGGGGGCTTCCCGGCTTTGAAGGCAAACAGGAGGAAGCCTCCCGCACAGCTCCAAACCAGGTCTCCCTCCTCTTCTCCCTCTTCTCCCAGTTCCTGATTCGGGCAGTTAACCCCTCAGCTGCCCTCTGCTGGCAGACCGGTCCGCCTGCTGCCCGAACCCGCAGAAGCCACCCGAGAACAGAGAGTTAAAGCAGGCCACCACCTCCATGACATCTTATTCTGAATCCCCAGGGTCCAACATGTCCAATCCTCAAGCCGCGGAACGTGCATGGCTGGCGGGGTGAGGGGGGGCGGGCTCGGCCACCTCCGTGACGTGGGAGGGAGGCAGGAGGGATTTCTCGGCAGAGGCGAGTTGAGGCTCTTATTCATTCAGGCTCTGGATTGCCTTTTTATGTTTTCCTGTTGCCTGCAAACAAACTAGGGTCCCAAATGCCTCCGTCCCCAGGTCCTCAACATCTTGCCCCGGCCCTAGGATGGTCCTGGTGCAGAAAATTAAGGATTCCTAAGCTGAAAACACGACATGGGTCACAGGAGCCTAAAGGGGCAGGTCGATCCTGGGTCGTCACTGCCCCACAATCAGCAGTTACACTAACGAGTCAACAGGGTCCCAGACTGTCCTGAGCCACACGGTGCGTGGGGTACACGCATGACGTGGGACCCACGGCCTTCTTTCTCTAGTGAAACTTAAGGACGTGGTTGTTGACACTTCCTAGAAAAGGCTCAGAGAGGTCCCTCCATCCAGCCTCAGGGAACCAGCAGCCCCCCATCCCGGGCCAGCAAAGCCCGGACCACCGGCATGAGCGGGGGTAGGGGTCAGCGCTGCCTCAGGATCTCAGCTGCTCACCGCACAAAACAGGGAGCTGGACTGAGTCCCTGTTTGCGGTTCCCTCATTCCTTTACTCCCGTCCAGATCGACCTGGGCTGGTACGGGAAGTCCGTTAATGGAAGCGGATGCCCTCTGACCGTCCAGCTAAAAGAACTCTATAGACCGGTCATGTTCCGGGTGAGGAAATAAACTCAGTAGTCTGGACACCCTGCCAAGCCACGGGTCTCCTCTGAGCCTCGATTTCACCGGTTGCTATCGACGGTCCACAAGCTTTGGAGGGCATCAGAATTAACAGGCACTGGCCCCACATCGGGTCCCGGCCGCACCCCCCGGAGCTGAGCTGGCAGCAATCAGGTGGGCCAGCGCCTCTGAAGCAGAGTCCGGGGGCCTCCCTTGGGGACACACTGATCTACGTGGTGTCATTCATCCAGGCTCCCTCACTATGGCAGCCGCACCGGCTCAAGCGTGTGACCAGCCACAGCTTCCCCAGACATTTCCAGAACAACGACGTATGACCTTCCCCTGAATCGTCTCGAGCTATCAGTGGTCGCCCAGGGCATGTGCCCAAATTGGGAGGAAGACCGAGGCCACGTGGCTGGAGCTCGAGTGCCACTATCCTGTGGCGGGTGCGGGGGTCTCTCGCAGGTTCATCCACGCAGAGGCACTGGCCAAACAAACCCATGCCGGGGAGGGGAGAGGGGAAAGGGACACTCCAGCATAGATTCTCCCCACCATCGACACACACTGCCACCACACTCCGAGCTCTCGCCCACCAGGATGTCAGCTAATGCACTAGCAACCAGTCTCCGTATCGATGCTGACGACGGGGACGAGGGGGGAAACTCTCAGAAGGAGGGAGACACCAGCCTAGGCATCAGACATACTCAAACCTGCGTAATCCTCCCAGACTCCGCGAATTCAGAGGCACCGCCTCCATTGCACAGATGGGGATACTGAGGCTTGCGGAAACGAACTCGTTTGTCTAGGGTCACAAGGCAAGTGAAACTGGAGCCTGCGGCTGAGTCTCGCTTTTCTCGATATTCTGCCGGCTCCCCACTTGGAGACCAGGGACGATCTCTTGTTTTCCAGGTGGCTCCACAGGGGTCAAGAAAGATCATCATCCACAGTCACTGACCTGGGGACCACCGTGTCCAAGGCTCTGTGGAATGGAGCCAGACACAGAGGTGGCCCTCCTCCCTGTAACTGGGGCCAGGACAGGAGTGCAAGTAATGGCATTGACGATGCGGGCAAGGGGTCCTCTGCCCCCCCTCCCCCGCCCTCTCTGCCCTCCTGGATGCTCAGTCTCAGCCAGGGCTGAGCAGGGTGACGCCAAGCCCTTCCAGGCAGCTCAGGCTCTGTCCTTGTTGCCAGCGGTCTGTGCCTACTGTCCCAACATCACCTACGTACATATGCATCATATACACACACTATATATACATACGTGTACACACATCCACACATCACACACATCCACACACACACACCTGTCGCACTTCACAAAAGGGCCCGGAAGGAATTACACCTCCGTCACAGGGAGAACACCTACTAGCCAGAAGCTGGCTTCTAAATACTATTCCATACTAAAAGGAAACGAGTCCCTTGGAGAAATGGCTCATTCCAGATGCCAGACAGATCTGGCACATTCAATTGTTCTGGGAGGGACGAAACAGGGCAAAGAACAATGTGGTCTCACCAAAGGACCCAGGCGCCAGCAGAGAGAGGGTCCAACAAGCCAAATTTGGGACAATTTGGGCATGATTGTGAATAACGACCGAAAACGAGTAACTTAAAAGGCAGCAAAGGGGGCGAGGGGTGTATGCGGTATTTCTTTATGGAAGAATGCCCCTAAAAATGGTTAAGGAATCAGAAAATTACCATTTGCAAACCCCAAAGTCAAAACGGATCCAGGCCACGGTCACCAAGGATGCTGAAGCACTGAGGAACAGTATCACCCTTACCATCCCCCCACCCCCAGATTACTGGCTAATCAGAAAGGGAAAATGCGCCCTTGCAAAGGGGCCATCGCATTAACCGGGAGCTCAAACTCAGCATCGCTGGAGGGGTGCTAACCTGAGAAGCCCCAGGAGGTAGAAACCTTTGCCAAACTGCTAACCCTGAATCTAAGCAGAAGAAAAGAAGTAGATAATGCATCAGGGTCACTCTGCAACTGACCTGGGCTCTTCCCACAAACAGCCACCGTGGGGCAAGACAGAAAGAACAAATGTGTGGGGAAAATACAGTCTAGATTAAAAGGAGCTAAAGCCATAGATGAGATAAAATGGTGAGTCCACAGGATGGGATACTACGTGGCCCCGGGGAAAGGCACACAGTGTCACTCCATTTGCAACATTCGCAGACCTTGAAACATTGTTGTAAGTGAAAGAAGCCAGACACACGGAGGCCCTGCACGGTGCCGTTTCACTTCTATGAAATGTGCAGAAGAAAGAGGCTCACCTACGGAGACAGGCAGAAAGCAGATTAGTGGGTGCCCAAGACTTTTGGGGATTCTTTCCAGGGTGATCAAAGGGCTCTAAAATGGATTGTTACTGATGGTCCTGCAACACTGTACGTTGTAAATGACTGGATGAATTACATCTCCGGAGAGAGAGGAACAGAGTAAAAAGATACAGTAACCAATGTATCCACCTGTAAAAGTGGGATGGACTTTAGCCTTGGGATGTTGCCAGTGTCCATAATAAAAGTTTATTTATTTATTTATTTTTAAAGTTTATTTATTTTGAGAGAGAGATCAGGGGAGGGGCAGAGAGAGACAGACAGAGAATCCCAAGCAGGCTCAGCACCCGCAAGCCGCAAGATCATGAC